CATGTAAAATGTCTTCGACCGCATGCCACACAAGCCAATGCTAGTTGTGTTGAAATCAAAGGTAGTGCAAAACTTCTGCTAAACTGATTGGACATATATCCGAACGATCAGACCTAAAGAGGAGAAATGGGACAGAAGTGCTCCACGTCGGAACGAATAACCAGTAATGTCTTCAAGGGACGCGTGCTTGGGCCGCTACTTTTCTTAATTTACATAAACAATATATACGATCCCGTAAGATATGGACGCCCGTTTTTGTTCACAGATGATGTTAAACTACTCTGCTCATTTCTACCACTACACCAGGGTAACGCACATGACGACCGATCCACGCCGAATGCATCGAGCGCAAGTCCATCCATGAAATTCTGCGCAAGAAAATCCCACAAACTCACGGAAAACCCCATCACTCTTGCCGAGAAGATTATCAGAACGTCCGATTCAGTCAGGGATTTGCGAATTAGATATTCAAATCCCCTCCAATTTTTCTGAACATATTCTCTACCAAGTCGCAAAAGCCAGACAACTATCAGACTAGATTACTGGAACATTTTCCTTACTTGCAAACCGGCTTGAACTATTCAACCTCATAATGCTGGCTACCCTGGAGTATGGAAAGACAGGATAGTTTTAGAAAACCTCCAACGATCATTTATCAAGCTGGTCAAGGGTTACTGCTTAACTCTGAGTTACCACGACCGATATCATCCCTTTTGACCACTTCTGCCACACTTTTCCTCCCACCCTTCGAATGAGTGTCTTTGAGCATTACCACGAACTACTTTTGGAAATGGTATCAGTTACATATATACAAACAGAAATGCAGACGAACGCGTCCTTACATTGCGAAACAAGCAATGCAACACCTGATTTTAGCATGCTTTGCTTTGGAATATCTTTGCATGCATAATTGTTTTACCTGATTCTGTTAAGACACGGAACCTATGCCACAGATACGGTGTAAAAAGGATTGCTCCAATCGATGGATCGTATAGCGTTTGTCGGTAGATATGCAAAATTCTATTTCTATTTCACAACTCACTTACATTTCGGCATACCTCTCGGCTAGGATGCAAGTGGTACAAATAGGCAGCTGTTTTTCACTCCTCAACACAGTCACACTGGGGAGTGTTATTGGTAATTATTTTATTCATTATTTCCGTACGTCAAAACTTCAGTATCATGAAGCATGACACGGCATTTTTCTCTACAGACGAAATACGTGTTGCGTTTTCTCACAGAGATGGGGACACACGGGCGGTTTCATAACCTATTGTTCACGACCTTAGATTTCCTGAAATTTGGTGTCGTTTACGATAGTTGTTTGCGTCACATGACACACTGCATGGTATGAGCATCTCTTAATGCACATCCGTTCATGACTTTGCCTCCGGTTGCACAAGTATCCGCACTGCCGACCATTTCGTATTGCCCGTTAGTTAGCCCAAGCATGCGCAAGTTAGACGAAACGGCTGTTGAGCGAAATCTGTTGTATTACCAAAAGGATAATTGGTTATTCCACAACACTTGCTTACAGTGAGCGCTGTACTGTTCTTGGACCGCAAACATTTTAGTCGCGAACAATGAGATCAAACCTGCGTTTTCCGTTCAGATTCACGCGTTACCGTGCTCACATCGCAGAGATCAATTTGCCCATTACGCAGGCTGGCGAATATTCCACACGTGATGTAACTTACGAGAGTACAATTCCAAGGACGAAAATAAGAATGACAGAAAACTTATTTATCACTGCCTACTCCAAGCTTTGCAACACATTGCCCCAAAACACGAGTTTCAAATGTCTATCAAGCAATATCTGACTGTGCGCCACATCATTTCCATGTTACGGATGTCTCAACCTTAGGAAACAGTATTCGACAATGGCGTCAAGGGCGAATAGGAGCAAACGCCATTTTTTGCATTTCGTTACTGCTTGTATAAGACAGTTTTGCTTCAAGTTGAACAGATGGGACAAGTATACCATCAATTTTTGTCTTTCTGAAAATTGTAATCGTATTCCACGTCGGAAGATGCTTATTTTCATCAATGAGACAAGGATCAACGTACAACAACCAGTATTGCGACATGACGAAAGCAAATCCATGGATGCCTTTCTATGAGCATGAGGAACACCTTCCTCAGCGCTTTTCCCGGGCATGCTCAACTACTTCCATTGGTCATTGCATTTTGGATTGAATTCTCAATAAACCTATGTTGGGTGATATCGATTGTGAAACACAACGGTGTATCTTTTGATCTGTAACTAGGCGCGAGCCGACTCCCGCACTGCCGCGACATGAATGATTCACTGATTCATTGTGTTAGTGCACACAGGTCATGAAATCACTCAGCTTGGTGATGTGCAGTGGTTCACATGCGGCTTCACGGTCACACACCACAGACAACTGTGACCTGGCCACTCCACACGCAACGCAATTTTGTTCCCCTCAGGATAGTTACCACGGGCAAGCGCGTAGACCGTGGCCATTTACGTCATAATCGTTGACCGAAGTGTTCCGGTTTGCTTTACCGACTATCGGCTGTGCTATTGACGCGGCTTACATCCTAGTCAGCAGTTGGTGTCCTCAGACAATAATATTCCCACCCTGTCATCGCGCGGGCGACGAGTCCGGCCACACATGCCTACCTTTTTCTCAACATCCATCCATATTTCCAGTTGACTGAGGCCAGCCGAACAATGAAGCCACTGTACGACGGTGCGCGTAATCATAGCCGATGTCAAAGCCACGAATTTGTGAGGGTAACAAACGATTTCACTTCGTGATCAAACGAATTTACTTGAACTATTCACGAACATAAATGGGAAATAGTAGCGGGTAGGTGATTAGGTAATTCTTATGATTACGTCGCCGCGCAACTTGGCCGCTGTATATGCGACGATTGGATATTCAGACAATTGAATGACGGGCCTACGCGGGACGAACCTCACCTCTCGACTGCATAGTAGACCAAAGAAGGACAGGCCTTTAGCGCAAACGCCTTCACTGACTAAAAGTATGGGCGACACAGGCCGGGTCACCTCCCGAATTATAGTGCAAATAACGCACTACGTCTGATATGAGGTTGCTCACAAAAATCGGTTGTGTTGTGGTTTGGAAGTCGCATCGTCATACTGCGAGTGCTGCACTTGTTTGTGTTTTATTGTCCATGCGGATAGTTGATTCTAGGCTACGAGTGCGTATTTTGGCGGAAGCACTTGACGTTCCCGCAACATTAATGTAATGATCAGTCCTTAATGAAGGAATCATGTTATTCGAATGTGTTGAACTTAGTATAGCTGTTGGCCTTTAAGCGCTGCCTGCAGATCAGAGGTCTTAGTTACACCAAATCTCGAAATTAGTTTGTGTGGTTAGCTTATTAAAATGTCACTTGAAACTAATATCTGGTATCATCCAGGCTCCGAGGGACACATGAACCATACATGTACCAGACGCTGACGTCTTCAGCGTTCAGTTCAGCGACGTAACTCTTTTACCCTTAATCCAATCCTCGTTCTATGTTGTGGTACTCGAGTATTCTGTGGTGCGTTTAAGCCACTACTGGGTTTTCTGCATCAGGCCACAGGACATAGCTTGGATCTCATACCAGCCACATTCCGACGCCAGTGGGGCTCAGAAGCATATATTTACGTGCATGCACATTGTGTCGAGACCTCTGGTTTTGTCATACTAGTAGCAATGGACACCAGGGAACCTGAGCATCTAACAAGCGCGCAGACTGCACAAAGCTGTGAAAGCGGGCATGGGGCAGTGGACCGAGCTGCTTCTCATGGTTCTGGGAGCATCGGTACAAGCATTGTATCTCTTTCCCCAGCCTTTAAAAACTCAGTGGTTTTCGACACTTGATATACGTCAGCTGAGGAGGAGTCGAACAGTCTGCGTTTTACCCAATCGGTGGCTATCGAATTTAAACGCATGTAAGCACAGTCCACGAATTTAAAGCGAAGGTACTGACGAGATGCAGTTAGCCGAACAATTTGCATTACAGTGTATAAGCTAGCTTTGAAACTATTAGCAGGGCTACGCTCGTTGGTTGTGTTACCTCTGCTTAACCTTTGTGGACCTAACTTGAGCCAGCCTAGCTGTTTCCATGTCCTCCAATGCCGTACCACCATGCAGGTCTATGGGTCTACCACTACGTTTGTCTTGTGTTAGCCCTACGCAGCCCATACAAAGCAGTCGCTTGTCCTTAGTACACCCGAGGATATGGAACTTGTTACTGTTCATCATCTGGTGTTCTAATGAGAATCGTTTGATTGTTAGGGTACATCCCCCTCTAGTCACCATGGTGAGCTACTGATTGCGTACGCATAAAACTGCTCTGGAACCATCATGATCCATCAAAGCGTTTGCTGTTCCGATTTTCATTACTGCAAGTAACTGCCTTATGAGGTCAAGGGGAACTCAATCGCTACTCTATGAAATGATGATTTGTCTAGTAGCCGCGACAGCACATGACACATCGAAGCTCATGTGCTGTCTTTATGCCATGCTAGTGCGCTGTTACGTGTGCAACAACCCTTTATGGGAATTATACCTAATTGTATCCATGAAAACTGTTTAGTAGCAGGTTCATGGTTGCTTACCTTAAAACGGGTTGGAAGAATTTGTCTAATCAATCTCAAGAAATTTGTTTTCCTCTCAGCTGCTCCAACCAACTGCAAAATCACCAGTCTTACATCGAGAATCGTACTGCACCAGACTAGTTGCAGAATCTACATTTATGTGCAGAAATTTGCAACTTTAAACTCTTAACATGTTTGTTTTCTTTCTGCTGGTACCTAAACTCTAGTATACATTTCTAAGGATTCCTCGTTCAAATATTAAACTGACCTCCAATCTTGCACTTCCTCGGAAGCTTCTCCTGTAAGCACAACCTAGTTTGGCTCCTTGCTTAACTATTTGTATCCTGTGTTGCGAGATCCTATAGGTCAGATTTCGCTCTCACATACATTCCATCCCTTTGGTCCTCCCACACAGCACTCTCCAAACCCGAAAGGTGCAATGGCTCTCATTTCGTTTGCCCCAGTAGCGGAAAATTGATTGCACGTTCATTTATGTGCGATAAAACTCCGGACTGTGAACCCGACGGAGAGGATGAGGAGGAATGTAGTGAGTTTTCCTTACACTGTCAGCTGTTCATGGGGAAATGAGAGGCTTCACACTCACCAGATACCATGGGCACTAAGTGTTGGTACTGGCGCTTTATCAGTTCAACCCGAAACCTTGCCAAAAATACGTGACCTATTCTCTTCTAGTTTTTACTGTACGGTCGGACAGTTTCAGGTTGAAATTGGTGAGTGCCTTACCTATACTGGTGATAATCGTTTATGATGGAAAGTTAAGCAGGGCGGTTGTGTATTCGTAGATAGTATCGCTCATCTGCTTCATTCGTTGACTGAATTGTAATGGTTCACCAACTGAGTCCAGTACTGTACCAGAAATTCCACACATTGGTTAACTCGACTCAGATCCGTAACTTCCCAGCAACACTGAAGGATGGGTGAGAAGCCTGAGTTGAGTTGCGGGTTGTTAAAGTAACCAAGTTGGTTATGCAGCGCACTGTGAACGTGGCAGCGGTTGATTGTGTTAGAACCGCTAGCAATAAATTCTTGATTATCTCTGGATAGATCTTATTTCGCAACTTCTGCCAGTATTCTGGCCAGGTTCGGACAGATTTTGTGTGACTTATAAAAAGGACGTCCTTAATATCACCCAGTCATAACAGTTAGAACAAAAACAGAGTGTATGGATCTGTTACCTTGCGTAATATAATTATTTTGTTAACACTGGCAGGTGTAAAAATTGTTAGGGGGATGCTCAATGAACATGTATTTTTTGCACAATTCCTAGTCGCTTGCTTTCGTTTCGCTATCATTCGTTTCTTGACAATTGTTTAAATGCAGCATTCCTTTGCTTCCATTGGCTGGCCTAAGTCGCTCTTAATGGATGCTAGCTCAGGGGTCTATTTCCGCTAATGCCGCTACCTAGTACTCGCCTGATTGGTTCTTTCTTTTAGCACTTCTCATTCCCTCGTATCATTCGTTGTTTCCTATAATGTTGGTTGGCTCCAACGTGCTTTAGTAGTTTTGCTTTATAAACTATTATTCCCTATATGAAGAAGCAGTGTTCTCATGCATCAACTCGGTACTGGCTCAGCTTCGTGTTCTTCTTGCGGTCGTAGGGCATGAACAGTCGGCGGCAACAAAATACAAATGTCCCACACTGCCTAGTAGGCTTGCTACGATTGTCCTGGGGCAGGTTCCGGAGTGAAGTATCCTTTTTACGAGCTTATGCCTCGGCCGAGAATGAGGGTTTCCCTGTTATGTCTGTGTTCTCCGGACACCCATTTCTGGAGCAGCCATACTTCGTACGCGCCGCTAGTCCGTTCCGAGTAGTTCAGTGGAGTGCTGTCTGTTGGATTAGCCTAACACTGTGTTCTCGAATCATTGAGTTGAAAATTCAGAGAAGGCTCAATAAGCATCTTCATTTTTACCCAATCCCACCTGTTTTGTATAGTGAACATTATGTGTGTTCCCATATGGGCCACTTCGATGATGTTTAGTAGTTAGTTAGCCTCCTACGGTACTTTTAAACTCCAGTGCTTCTAAGCTCCCTGCGGCATTGTCGGTGACAACAAAAAGTTCCTCAACTTTGAGACATCAAAATGAGTCGTGTGGTGAATGCAACTTCATTAACGCTCCGGTGCCTGTACACCAAGCCAACCATCCATCCGGTTAGATCATGTGTCTATTTTTGGCTTATTTGCTACTCAGTACTTGGTAGACCTCAACGTAAATGTCATCAAGCTAGAGAGACAAAATTAGCATGAGACTACTAACCCAATCTTCTGCCTACGATGCCTCAACTAGGTCTACGCTACATTTAGATGAGTGAAAAGAGGATAAATTCGAGATGAAAACTGCCTGCGGAAAACATTTTATGATCGATACACTCCTCATATTCCACCGTACTCTAATCTACTGTTCTTCAATGTGGCTCCAAACATTACGCATAACAGGAGCCGAGCGGCACCGGGGTAGGAAAATGCTGCACGAAAATTTAAGCATTGCAAAGCGAGAAGTGAAGATGCTATTGAGATCTACGCAAAAATAGGTTAGCAACGGCATGTGTTCAGCAGATGTTGACAGCTCACAGGAGGAGCATCGAAATGCTCAAGGACCATTTATATGAAACATCAAGAGCGCAATCCCTGTTAAGTACACAGCAGTTAGGTGCACGCGACCACATGCGCAAGATGTGCTACATTCGGTTATACAGAATGCGCTCCGTGCTGTCAGTAGGTTCGTGATGTAAGCTCAGTTGGGCGTTAGTGGGAATTCAGGGAACCTGATTTCAGGTTTTCGCTGAGCTATCTATCGGGAGTAGATATCAATCACTCAAGCACTCTTCAACTACATTGATAAGATAGAGCATATGTCACATCAAGCCCAACAACCGCATTCACTTAGTTCTGTTCACATCATTGGTTACCCTGTATACAGAATGGAATTACTCTCCTCGCGTCGATCTTAACCGTTGGCCACGCAACAATCTATGCCACACGCGTCATAGTCGACATGTTGATCTGCGGAATGCTTGTTCATACGAGGTTGGCCGTATCCGAATGCTGGAGGCATATAGCTGCTTTAGTGACGGTGTTAGGAGCAACGACAGCTGTAATACAGTGATTGTTGGTATTGTTTTAGCAATCGTGGCTTTAGTAGTAACCGTTACAGGAATTTGTGCTCCAGTTTGCAGGCTACCGTGGTTGCGTGTGATCAAGTCTGTTATCGTTTGATCGCATGCTGACTCCCAGCGGGGTGTGGTCCATATGTCCCGCCTTTCTAACGTTGCTCTCCGGACACCCATTTACGAAATCATCACGATGCACACGGAGACCCTATTTACACCTATAACGAATTGGGAGGCATATTAAGTTTGGATGCTCTTGATCACTTCATTGGTGGTTAAAATGATCTAATTCCTACTGGAGCACATCATCATCCGTAATTGCACCAGTCAATGGGTCCAATCCGCTTCAGTTGCACGATCGTTGTTTGATTAATTACAAGGACCAGGCATTCAAACGTATCCTTGCCTATGAGTAATCTCGAACTTAAAGTAGGAAACTATTGAGCAACTGAGCTTGGAACATATTCATGGAGCAATACAAACTCCCCACCAGTGAACTCTACTGCCGGTAATACTCTTGTTCGCAATAGTTAGGTTGAGCTAGCTGGCTGGAACCAAGACCAAGGGGCCATACGTATAGAACTTTGGCATCATACCGCTGAGTTCCGCGGGCATCGTTTGTCACCAACGTTGTGATTATTGTTAGGCTTGGGGACTCATTCGTACGTACGCATTGAAGCAAGTCAGTTAAACTCTATTCCAACACCACGTCCAGCAATACCTAATATGCATCAGGTGAAAAACAGGTTACATGTTGTGCTGGACGCGGTGGGTAACGTCACGACACTAATACAGAGCGAAGCACAACCACGGGATGAAAAAAGAGCCATCTACTCAGTCGATAATTTGAAACGACCCAAAAACATCACGGAACATCGGGAAGAAGGGAAAACTTGTGTGAGAAACGACACGCAAATCCGGTGAATTCGCACTTACTGATTCTAACAACCGGGGTCCATAATCATAGGTTTAACAGTTAGATTGCCTAGCCCACTGTTACACCCTATTGGTGATCTTCGGTGACCGCTCTCCAAACATAATCGGTTTATTTGTTAAACATAAAGATGAAACAATTTTTGACCAGATGACTCTGGAAGCCGGTAGCTTGTCATCTCTATTTTTACATTCAATTATTCAATCAAGGTTTACCAACCATTATTGACCCATCTGGTGAGACCCAACTGTTTGGTCTGCAGTCTGGCACCCTTACCCTGACATGCACATCCTACGGTCGTCCGCCTCCGGCCATCAGCTGGCGCTTCAACTGGGGTGGAATAAGAGAGGGTGTGGATCACTCAATCAATACCACTGTCATCGATTGCAACAAAGTGATCAGTCACTTAACGCTGCACAATTTGGAGCCCCAAGCAAGCGGATTGTACACATGTGAGGCGGTAAACAGAGGACGCGCACTGGCACCGGACATCTCGGTCACGGTGGCAAGTAAGTGTAGGAAGTTCCTGTGTACCTCATGCTTCTTTGTTTGTTCGCTGTCTGGACTACATTTTTGGAGGTCACCAAACACCTAGTTAGCGGCTGGCGGCCGTACTCCTCAACCCAAAATGCTGCGGGATTTCACGTTATGCACCTTGACCTGAAACATCCTTGCAGGCTAGTGTAGTCCGCGTGAGGGTGTACACGTTAATCTAGCACTATGCAGCATCGCTTGCCATCGCGGTGCATGTTATTCGACCCGGTCGAAGGCATCTAGAGGAGAATTTTCTCTCGCGTAATCATAGTTTTACTACTATCTCGGTGGGGAGTCCATAATGAACCTTCGATTTATCACCAGGTAAATACTGAATGGCAGACTCATCCATAACCCACACTGGTCTGTTTCTCACATTGGCTTCTTGTCTACTGGTAGGTTTTGATACAAACTTATGTTGAGTTACAAAAGAAATTAAAGCGGTAGGGGGTCAGGATTTTGCTACCCGTTTCAATTCTGCGGAACCTAGGTGTTACATAATGGTAACATCGCTCTACCGCATGGATTCATTCAGCTTAGTAAAAAATTTATTACTTCTGAACTCAGTGGAATCTGGCAAACTAAGCCCCGGAGCTAGGTTCTCCCATGTCATGTTGTTTAACTGCCACATTTCTATGCCCCATTACTCATCGAGCTTATCGTTTAGAAACTTTAAGGCGGATTCCTTAAGAAGCCTCTGGCTTTCGCTTACTAATGCACATTAATGCTGCGTCCTTCACCGGCGATGACACGACTGCAACCGGCCTACACGGACAACACAAGATCACCTGAGTATCTCACCCTAATTAGGTCACCGTTTGCTGTCCGGCTGGTATCGGACATCTGTCCGTATTCCGGTGCACGAGTTGGTTTTAGTGGGCACGTTTTCTTTTCTAAAAGCAAATGCATATCCCATTCCAGGGAGGAATGAGGACTTTTTCGTCTGACGCTAATCACCCACTTCCCTGCTGACCGACTGAGATAACGTGCAGCGTTGGCCGCCAGTTGAGTCTACTCAGCTCATTTCGATGTGCTATTCCGTCGGCCACTTAGCCTTACCTACTGCTTGGAGGGTCATTATGAACTACTCGTTGTGTGAATGGATTGCGACGCGCAATCTCAACATGGACCGCGATTCACATTGAAGTGATCCATGGGAAATTATCTGAGACAGATAGATATTGTATGTCGCAGTGTTTTCGGGTGGACAACACCCGTTTTCCAAATATACTGCTTCTAGATCGAAGTTTCTCATTGACCTATGAGCAGCAGTTCAATGTATGTCAACAATCGCATTGCCAGGATACTTTACCTGCAGCTACTCGAACTGACTCCCTTAATCACCTTCGTGCAGAGCTTAATTCAGTATGTAGCGTCGTTGCTTCAATCACCATGCAACTTTGTTATACCTTCTAACTACCTATAGCACATCATGAACGAATGGATAGATAACCTTTGGGATTTACAAATGTAATCCGAATTATACTAGGATTACTCCGGGATCTATTATCGCTCACATTTTTTATGCTGCTTCGCATCACCCTATATATTGCAGAAGGCGGATTATGCACACCACCAAATTTCAACGATGGAGCATGGTTTGAGGATATGTGTCTACCGTGCTATTGTTCAGGCGTCTCCAGTGAGTGCTACAGTGCGAAAGGATACATAAAATCGCCGGTGAGTGCAAATTCTCTGGTTCAATGACATAACACCAGCGAACTGGCCATTTTAAATTAATGTTCCTCTAAAAGAAAACAAAAATTCATCAAATGAAATACAATTTCACAATGCATGATATTGTTTAGCTTTATTGAATTATGATCCTTCTACCAACATACTTCCTCTGTTAGATTCAGCTTCGGGCTTGACTGACCTGAGCCTACATATCTGACTTGTTTAGCGGTTTAAAGTCCACCTTCATGTAACCAAAGGATTAACACGCCACAGACTCGTCGTTCGTCTTTTGGGACGCTATGCAGTGCCTGATGCGTAACGGGCCTTTCGGGCCATTGGAATGGCTAACGCAAATACACGTAACTGACCACAATTGATTGCACCGTGCAACGTAGTATAACCTCTGTCAGCCAGTGATATGGAAGCAAACGTTTCTTTACTTTTGACTGTGGAGTATGATGAGGTTACATTGATTGATTGCTCCTTATCGCTGTGTGGATCGTTAAGGATGTGGCAAAAACCACTCGCATGCGACAGCTGCACTGTGTAAAAAACGCCAGTCAAGGACTGGGTATGATGGCTGCGATTGATCACACAACGTCCCCAAATTTTCCGTTTGTGCCGATTTTGAAATTAACCGCTCTTCGTTGCGCCCAACGCCGTACCGCGCAACTTACAGCACCCGATAATAAATTTTGTTTAACTTTCAACGTTTACTTCACGAGGCGGCGGAGATGGAACCGAATCTGTAACTTACTGCACATGTTAAGGAACCGGGATACCGACACCAGCTGTCAGACATGTTGTGGCTTGCACCAAATGGTATCACATGAGTGACGGAACATCTCAACGAATACCTTAGCTTGGGGTTTGAATCAGTTCACCTAGTCAGTAGTCGTAGTAAGCTTTTTACTTGAAATTCATGATCCTACGAGGACTAGCAGTGCGTTAATGCGTTTAGCTGCTTCTTTCTCTTAAACGCATGTGAACTGTATTCTTTGAAACATCGAAAACAGCGGTATACGCGTGGAAAGACACGAATACTGGGACAGTGGTTTATTCAAGGTCAGTGCACAGTCGTTCAAAGAACACACGCGATAACCCAACGGAATGAATGCGTCTACCTATATTCGCCGCCGCATAATCGGATAAGGGTCTAACCAGCACACCAAATGTTTCCTTGTAGTGCATCAGTGCTTACATAACTTTCCCAAACCACCAGTACGCGGGTTCACTGGGTTGTGTGCGATGTGGCTGCATAAACTGCTTTCTTTATCAGCCTACTTTATTGTAAGAACCCGGTGCGCAAGAAAACATATCCCACCACTCGGTTGTATCAGTATACAGTCATATGCTAGAGCAACGTTCCATGTGAGCCCATGCGACTGTACTTGTCGTGTAGTAATAACACAGTTTTCAGGAGTACCACATAGGTTTGCAAGGGACGTCCTGCGTGCAATACAATTCTGCACCCAACGGTATCAGCATCGTTTGCGAAGCTTTCTGTTTAAAACAGGTTACTCAGACGTAAGCCGTGAGATGACTTGGTCCTTTCGTGTATATTTATCAATCGCTATCATGCAAATGATGATGGACACACAAACACACGGTCATATGAGATCGATAACTATCCAGTCGTCGGCTGACGTGTCGCCTCACGCTGCCATGGTAAGTCCAGATTCACAGTCAGCTGTTTCCATATGCATTGCGGTAGCCGTTCTGGACACCTGACAATGGCTTTCCGTTACCTGGGAATGTGAGGTCGCTGCTTACTCATAGGGACCGTGAGTGACTGATGGGGTTGTTTCGGTGGCCGGTGCTCCGTAAATACCTGAGCTCAGCTCAGGTCAACGAGACCGCTGTTTGATTAGGACTCATGCAGTCCAGGTCTCTGTGCTTATACCACTGCACCTGCAGCTACGGAGACAGCAATGTCGAGTGCACTGACTGTAGTCTAGAGCTCAGGATCAGTGAATACATTTCCAAGTGCTTGCGCAGCCGCACGGGATCGGTGACGATGGAAGCTGGTTAATTAGGAAATCGAGCTGCGTCAGCAAGCAAAAAGCACTTGCCGAGAACCAACCATTGTCCTGGTATACAATCATTGTCCTCACATTCTCAGACAGCTGGAAGCCTTTGTTATCGGTCGAGAACGTCCACTACTGAGCATTCAGAAAAGTTGACTGTGAATATCAGCTTACCACAGTAGCGAGAGGCGCAGCGATTGGATGACAAGGGAATAGCTATCGATCGCATGCGTTTGCGATTGATGAATATGCACGGACTGACTACATTGCCCCACAGCCTACTTTTTCTGACTTGCTTATCTGGAATTAGAAAGGGAACTACTTGGTCCACTTTTAAAATTAAGGCTGGTTATAGAAAGAACACAAGGCCGAAGCCGTGGTGGCAGGCAATAGTTATCCCCTCGAGGTTGAACCATCAAATCAATTGGTAAAAATCGCTGGGCTAAGTACGTTATTGACGCTTTGAGCGACATCGCGTGTTCTTTTCTGCGCATGCGAGTGTGAAAATTTTGCGAACAAACCAGTCAATGTTAGAGGTGCCCATGCGATTACAAATCTGGGGAGTACTTGAAGGTGCCTCAAGTTTGCGTGCAATAGTAAGCTAGTTCCGGCGCCTAAAACGCGAATGTATTGGGGGGCAAGCATACAAGACGCTGCTAGAATAGTGCTGGAATGCGGTGATGAATAATTGATTACCTTATTCGGGGGCACATACATTCGGAACATGACCGAAATGGGTGCTACTCTCACGTAACCCATGGTAGAATTGCAAAGCAACACTAGGTAGGGGCAAGACTTTGGCATCATAAGCAGCCACTCGAGAAGCTTTACACCTTTCTTAGTGAAGCTCAGTAAGGTTGTCCAAAAAACCATACAGAAAACACGCCAGGAATTTATTGGCAAAACGCACTAAGCACTCAGCTAGGAAAACAGCTCAAAATCCGCATCCACACCCCGAGATACAGATATTCTCAGTTATTTTAAGAGCAACGTGATCCTTGCTGTTCCGAACAGTTGACTCATCAAATGAGCTTGGCGCTTCATCTAATAAGTGATGGCTTGTATCGACGGATATCAGATTTCGGTTAGAAATCCGGCTTCTCTTTTCTATGCACATAGATTCACTTTTGCTACTTACTTTTCTCAGTAGCAATGAAACCGTATTACTGTATGGGAGCAAATCTTACTTCACCAAGCCGGTAGATTCTTTATGTGAAAGATCTATTGGAAAGTTATGCCCTTTTGCTTTAGTGCTTTATTGCGGGTTAGCTTTTAGGTTAAACAGCATTAACCATAACTGAGCTTCCTCATTAATTTTGATAACAATCAGCGCCTAATGAACATTCATGGCTAAGGTCCCGGATGGTCTGTTTAAATGATATTCCAATTCTACTACAGAGGTCCCTATTCTGAATCACCACTTTGCCACTTTGCGGAAAATATCACAAGCCGTAAACCCATCCATAGTGATACAAAGTCCACTAGTTTTTCTGGCGTTGCAGACACTACCAGTTTGTTCAACTTTTGCACCAGGTTCATAGCGTAACACCCACTTACGGGTTGTATTTCAGCGTTCATGTTGTTGTATCGTCGGGCAGTTGCTACAGCGTTTAAACCGCACTAACCATACAACCAAAGAATCAGCACGTGCTGATCAACAGCCACGTATTGTGACTCCGGTTGCAGATAGGTCGCCGGTGAACGTGCGCCACCGTGCTCCATCGTTGAGACACTGTTCCAAAACAGGAAGCGTCCTCCGCAGTAACCTTCTCGTTTGGTTTGGTCAACCAAATACTGGTGGGGCACTTATAAAAAGCCATCGATCATTCACTTGCATCGCGGTCACACTATCTAACGTTCATCTGTGACCTTAGCGGTCGCCTCGCTTAACGTGCGCTTGTCTGTCCACGCGCCAGTTGTCCAGCTTGCATTTCGGCGGTCGTTCGCCTGAAGTACGTATCTGTAAATGCGTGTCTCACATTATCGACAATAAATTTTAGTTGGAAGTATTTCGCTGTTACTCCTCCCAAAACAGATACACCACGACCGCGTTTCATCCTGGTTTGGACTCATCAGGTGGAAATAGCCTGAGTTGGGGTGATGCTTAGAGCCTAGTAGTTCAGGCTGATGTTCTGACCACTATGGCACTGAAATCTGCTAGCAACGCTTTGAAAAATTTTTAGTATTAATTTTTTAATTCATATGTCCTATTCCCTTGGGGTAAGGTTTTTCACGCGAGTACGGACCGCAGGTGAATTCGTCTGAGCATTCCCCGATGTGACGATGTTGTTTTTCTCCCCACATTCTCAATGGAGCTGCAGTAAGCCTCTGAGTATCATCATTAGATTCAGTGAGCCTTGAAAGTGATAGCAGCAGCGACGTCCTTTGGCACTACTTTGACACATCATCAAAAGGGTTCTTTTAGTTAGTCCATTCAGACTATCGGTTATCTTGTGTTGAAGCTGATTTTTTATAAAATCGTTGTTTTGTCTTGATGTGAACATAATTTTGCTTCACTCCCCCACTAATTCTCCACCCAATTAAAATAAGTAGAGCATCAGTATTTTAGGCGGATCTGTCCAGCAGCTACAAAAAGCATCCAAGTTACTCCTGGTCTTATTAAACTTTAAGGACATGTACAAATTTCAGGGGTCACAGCTGAACTTATTTTTCAATATTTTCTTCTTCTACTTACCCCAGGGTTTCACTGCTACTTCGAATGCTTCAGCACAAAGATGTTTATCAGTTCGTCTGAACCGATTCTGGATAGCATTTCCCAATTCGGTATCATTTTGGAAAGACTGACATTTAAGGAAATCGATTACGGGCTAAATCAAGACCATAAGGAGGGTGGGACGATGCGATTCCGAAAATATTAGCTTTCTATGTCGCAATGGCTCTTCACTCCAATGCACTATTCAATTTTTCTGGGTGCGCAAAAATCTGGATACTGTTTTGTAACCTATGAAGCACTCGCTTTTCAGAAGACCGAATAAGTTTGAATAATTCTGTTTAGTGCACAAAGCGCATTTTCAATTTCACAACAATGTATGCTATGACTACCAAGTGTAGGCTTGTCAACAAGCTGCAAGTTCCCAGGAACGACAGCTATGGCATCACATCCTCATCGACGGGGATCACAAGCGACAAAAACATGACGACCTTTTAAGTGCTTTACTGCTGCCTAGTGTCCTATTACCATACTATGACCTATGTCTTTTATAAATTTCAGCTGGTTACACGCCCTTCCTCATTAGAAATTTCATCACAAGACGATGTTCTGTGTGAAGCGGCATCTTATTATCCATTGCGTTGAATGAGATTGTATTGAAAGTGCACGAAGGTAGCGGCACCCAACAGTAACAGGACACATTTGCCAGTTCTTACTGCATCTTGACATTTCATCACAGCGTTAAGTGTAGAATCTGAAAAATTTCAATTTGACTTGAATGACAAGTAGTTGAGCATAGTAGTTCCGTTCTGGGACAAACTACTTTTTGAGCTCCCTTTTGTCTGCGGCTTACTTTCTCCGCAACACCTACACCAACACTCCGCTAGCCAACTATTGTCCATTTTCATTTTCGGTGTTTTGCCCAACGGTTCCATTACGCACAATTTATGAGGTCATTGTCTCTGCGCTTGACTTTCATCATAGCCATTCTCATGTTATCTATCATTCGGAACGCTTGGTAGTGTACTTTGAGTATCCCATCCCGATGCGCCACACTTGTCATCAATTTCCATGCCGAACAACCTTGATAAGAATCGGGCTTGAGTAATTTCCTCAATCCATTTTAGACACCTAAATTTTGGAACTTTGCAAAAGTGCCATGGTCTATTCGTGTCTATTCTAACGGTGATGCTCTAGAGACGGATGATGGGGTGGAAACCACGGACAAGCTAATTCGCTTCACTGGCAGACATGAAGGCAATGTCTTTCTCGAGGGCGCCTTTGGGTTCCAAGGGTCCTGGGTGAGTGCACAGCTGTTCGGTTTGTGAATATTATCAGACTTGTACTATCATGTGGTTAGCTTCCATTGTAATCGCTTTGTGCTCATTAATAGTGGTGAGGTGTCACAGCTGCGCTTGGTCGAACCCGCCTTCAGCGGCATGTACTATTTCTGCGTGCCTGACATCCCGGTATACAGAGAGCTAGAACATTCCGAATTAATAAACCATCGTTAATAAAAATGTGATCGATTTGGTTCTCTGAGTAATTCTCTACCGGATCACTTTGCAAAACTATGCCTGTCTCATTAGAAGCATGATAGACTGTCAATTCCGCTGCAGTATGGCTTGTGCACTGCTTCCGTTGCTTCACCATTCCACTTGGTTGCCTCCATGCTTTACAGGTGAACTCCTATGGATATCACATTAAGTTCAAACTCCGGCAATTCGGGAGCACAAGCGATTTCCTTCCTGGTCCTTTGCTTGTGTTGCATGTGAGTTTCCCCAACTCATATCTCATATTACGAACGCGTCAATGTTACTACTGTCTTTCAATTCTGCGAGTTCCCCGGCTCCTTTTGGGAGCCAATGTGGAATAAATCGTTTTCTTTAGAGCGCGAAGACGAGGAAACTGGTGTAGCACAGCTGAATCCAATGGAACGCCTGAACCATACCTAGCATCATGGCTCAGTTAGAGGTTGCAAAGAGTCTATGCATTGTACTTCCGGTTGGTTCTGACTGCAGTCCTCCGGAATTCCCAGACTCCGCATATCATGCTCATGACCTGTTATTAATAAACCGCGCATTTCGAAAAAGCATTCGGGCAATTCACTGTTTTTCATTTTCCACATGCTTCACCATCACATTGGGTGTACCCATTGGACGGTTCACTGTTTAAATTCCAGTGTTTCAACTAGCGGTTCCATACCTTCAGTGGGATAATAATCTATGACAAGCAAAAAAGCAAGTGCGTTAGAAACCCCGTAGGATGATTGGAGTAAGAATTGTAGAAGCAAAGAATGTACTTGCGAACTAGATAGAACCAATGTCATCGAGGTACGGGTACATAAACTTGTGTACTTTGGATAGCAACATGTCAAAAAGCGTACGAATTCCTTCTGACCAATGTTCTCTGTATATAAACACCGTTTCTCCCCCACCTACGCAGTTGTTGTAGGACCAGAAGCGCTCAAAATAATGTAATGCTGCGTTTGCATCGTCCAACACTCCATAACCCTCCCAGGTGCCCACTTTAAGGTGTACTGGCCCCGTCCTCCTAAGAAGGCATGTAAGTGTATATCTCAGCTCATTACTCTTGCGGTTCCGTTCTAAATCATGAGTACACGATTTCTGGATCATGTAAGATAACCAAGCCAAAGTTTAAACTGACTTTTAACGTACTTGTAACAGTTTAAATAAGCATGTAGTTATGTCACAACCTTGTACACTTTTATTTCTATGCCTGTAGCTGAAGTTCCTTTGGGATTGGAACTATACTATGAACATTTAGTTTTCGATTAAGTAGCCGTATGATCGAGATGGGTCTCCCCAGGTTGAATTACCCTTCCCGGCTTAGCATGCGATGGAGACTCAGCAGATTACAGTCTAATTCTGTGATCACTCTGTCAATGAGATGCAACTACCGGGTAAGCCCAAAATGTTGCTTATTAGGTTAATCAGGCCGCAGGGCAATATGAGTAACATCGAAAGGCAACCCAAAATGTTTCCATCGATATTCTTTTTCAACAATGCACTCACTTATTTGGACACTCCTTTATCTCTTTTATTTCATTGCCCAATACAGAGTCCGAACCAGTCCATATACTGGTGCCCACCTGGTGACCGCATCATACTGTACACCCTACCAGTGGGTTACGAAAATGAACTGTCCGTGCTGTTGAACGAACGCGAACGTTGGTACCTGGATGCAAACTGTTCTCGTCGTTTGAAAAACAGCGGTGGTCGTAGGTTGTTCATGAGCGTTCTCAGCGAAGTGGAACGTGTTGGCATACGCGTTAAAAACTACAAGACTCAAGTCAGCACTGAGGTGCAAGATTTGGTTTTAGAATTCGCAACTAAATCCGATTTACCGGGTGCGTGGATAGCCGAAGTGGAACAATGCGTCTGCCCGCCTGGGTATGAGGGATTATCTTGCGAGGTGAGCTTCAGGCGGGGGTCAATACAGTGCAGTCATTACAAAGAGTTGGTATCGCACAAAAGCATGTAAATATCTGTATCGCTTGACCAGTGCTAACAGATCATAATTCTTCGAGTCGTTGCTTCACTCATGAGATGGTGATATGGATGTTAGCACGTATTAGCATATTTACGCCAACACTAGTCGGAGTGGCCTTTTTAAACCAGATGTCCAATGTCTAAAACGAGCAGCACTGATTTCCTGCAGATATATGAAGAGGAAATCCTGTACAACGTTTCTCGTGTTGTTCCGGTACTTAACTGCAACTTTCTATTTTTAAAGAGTCTGAATGTTTTTAACTAGGTAGCCGGTAGTCAGTCTACGAGCGGAACTTACCAGGACGAAGTGGTTACAACTAGAATGATGTAATGTGACGATGACATCGGAATTACCCTGTGAAACAAAGAAGTTCCAGTGAGGTAACTCAGATGAGCCTTTTCGAAAAAATTGCACACACTCCTCTTTAGCAAAATGCAAACACCTAACTATAACCTCTTATCTAAACCCCTGTAAGCGTTGTGCTTCCGGATTCGAAAAGGATCCATCGGAGATCGGACGATGTCGACCAAAATGTGCCTGCGACAAATGTGACGAATCTGGTGCTTGCCTGGAATGTCCGGGCAATCGTAGCGGACCGCGTTGTCAGCATTGCCAACCAGGCTTTTACAGACCAGGACGAAGCGCATTGTCGGAGGATTGCATACCTTGTGCAAAATGCGTTGGACCACATGTACAGTGAGTGAACATTTGATGGCATCGGAAATCTCACGAAATTGGTTGTGGTCACAGCACAAATTCTGGGTGGTACATTGTCTCATCTTTATATATTTGAGCACAGAGTTGTACGTACAAATATGTTGTGGAACTTGCTTTTGGAGGAAATATCCTAGCCTGTACTTAGCCAGTACTTACGTCCCAGTCAAGCATTTGAAACCCACAAAACGCCATCGATTACGTACTAGGAGGAGCTACGATGTTGCAACTTACACACGATGTTGAGGGGGGTCAGGTCGACATATTTTTCATGCGTTCATCCGTTCGTTCTGTCACATAGGCAAAGCTCCAAAGTTGGAGAAGTGCTGGGTAGGGTGGTGGATATTTCGGCTCACCTACTTGTGGAAACTAATTAGTACAGAGTGAATATGAGGCCGTTTTAGAACGCCATCTATGTCGGTCCAGGTTGATGGGAGTGGGGTGCTCGTAACCCTATAACTGCCAAAAAAGGTTTTCGTCTTAGACCATGTTACGGTGTTTACCGAACAGTACGTTCTGCAACATCATCATACACTGTGTACGCCCCATTACTTGTTAGTTTAATTTGTAGGCTGCCGAAGAATAGTCTTTGATCATCCCGCGTTTTCTTCCAACACCGTCTTAAAGCCTTTTGTCGATGGTGGACTAATCATCAAAGCAGTGTCACTGTACAGAACTATGTATGCCCCCGTAGTTGAAATTATAACGCTGCCCCTTGTATTGTAGCAGAACGTCCACTTTATTTGGATAACTATGGCTAAACTGCAGTGGCCTACGTTGTCCTAGCATTCGTTGAAGTGGGAGTAATGGACTGAAAAGGTGGGCAGAGTAACAATGAAACCAGACAAATAAGTCGATAGAGTAGGGAAAACTACTCGGAGGAAAGTTTTAGCGGTTACGAGTGACGAACCAAACATAGAAGATCCAGTAACTTCCTTACTGCATAACAGGAATAGGATTTCAAAGTCATGTACATCAATCCCCAGATCCATTTTTGAAAGTTGGCGCTCAATAAGGCTTTCCTTTTTCGATCGCTTTCCCCATGCCCATTTTCCATGCGGGCGACTTCCCTGTCCGATTACCGGCATACGTCTAGGTAGGCGGTTGGTAGACGTACGAAAACCGGAGACTGACCGGTAAAATACAACAAGCGGTGCGATATGGCGACAGATTGGTACCATACAATGCTTGTTTTCCCATTAACAATTCTACATGGGTACTACCCGTTGGAAACAAACAGTCACCTATTCCCTTCAGCTTATACTGATCTTACCTTCTTTCCAAGTAGTAGCAATGGCCAAAATCAGCGTTAGTGACGCTGGCTTAGCAGGATGGCGTATACTTTGAACAGGTGATTTTTTTAATGGTTCTACCATAAGTTAATAAGGCCCTTGTTACCCGGAGTCCTCTTATCGGATCAGGTCGATCTAGCTTTTTCGATAGTGGGCATGCTTGTGGGCTGTATGTTTGATAGCTGTCCCTCCAGTTCCATTTATCAGGTTTGTTTTTCCAGAAACAGTGTGTGTGGTGTTGAACTCAGTTCGAGCGACCTTTGGATCACACAGCCCGTCCTCTTTGTCTACCGTCTTCCACGACATAGCTATGATCTATATGCACGAAACAGTACAATGTAGGAGTGTACAGCGTGTCGAACTCAAAATAGCCTACTCGGCTATCACGTAGCTAGGATTCGAGGAAGGTTAGCCACCCCCTTAATGAACAACTACGGGCAGTAAACAACCGTATTTGCATGAACTGTCGTTACAGCTACCAAGGTAGAACAATGTTCCGCTACCTTGGACTAAGGATATCACTGAATTCCAGTTTAACTCAAGTGCACTTGTTTTCAACGGGACGCTTGTTGTATTCATCCACTGTGATGTTAGTCAACGAGACCAACTTGTCCATTCACACAATCTGAGAAGCAGTTGCCCTACTATCATGACCTTTCGATCCAACTCTTGATATGTCAGCGACGCGAACATCAGCATGAGCCAGAAAGTGGCAACAGAATGTTTACCCGCTCAGGCTGATTTGGGTACGGTATGTTTAGGTTTCACGGACCTAAGGTAACGCGAATATAGTAACTTGTGTTGCCCTCCTTATGCGCGAAATTTGTTTATGTGTAGCGATCTATAGAGCGTTCAGTTTATGCTGATTCAGCTGAAGTGTTTCAACTCAGTTTATAGACCACATGTTCGTAGCTTTGTCTCTCGTAACGTTACCTATTTCTGCTAATCTTGTGTGCCGTGTGAAGGGAGGAAGAGAAACGATGGTTAACGAAGCACTGACTGCAACATGGCTGTATGATTGCATGAACGAAGCTTAAACGATCCGTTATTTTTTAGTTAAGGCGTATGGACTTGAGTTTTGGACAAAGATTAAGGGAAACATCCATCGTGAATGTTGGTTTATTAGACAGTCTTAAATTCCACACTTTTACATCTGATTTGCTTTTGATTCTGTGTGACTGCCAATAAAATGTTAACTACGGTCCTCGATCAATGAGCTAACCCCCATGCATATCTCTGTTCTCCTGTTCCAGTGTGGTAAAAGACTGCATTGGCGTCTCCTTCACACACGATGATCATGTGTGCAAATGTCAGCCCAGAGAGGACGGTAAACTCTTGAGCCCCGAATGTGATCTGTGTCTAGTTGCGCAAACCCAAGGGACCCAACCACCTCCAGAGGCCAACTGCGAAGCGAAGCCACAGCCCTTGGAATGTAATGCGATTGGGACCAAGACAGTCTCAGAGACCCAAGAGTGCACATGTTATGTGAGTTATGATAAGGATTAGGGTAGTCTGAACCAACTGGAATTACTTGGTTCCTGTTTTCAAGCACACGTCAACCCAAGGACACGCCGGACCCAATATCTTTAACAATCAACATAGCTAATAACTATATTAGCACAACGATTAAACTCGTGGTGCTTATAGGTTGTGTTGCTTGACAGGGAATGGAAAAGATTCTCGATATAATTGTTACTTGGACTAGCCTTCGCTAACTATTCATAAAAGAATTTTTTACTAAAAAGCTAGTTCGCTTATATACTAAATCGCGCTTTCCACTGGGTCCTTGAACGACATATCTCCTTACAAAAGTTACAGTAATGCTGAATTATGTCAGATAGCATCTAGCTCCCAAGACTGCAATTATTTGATGTGTTTCCTGCAGGGTCTCAGAGGGACATAGCCCAAAACTTTGTGCCAGTCAGTGTGCGGAACGCTGCATTAGATCTCCGCCAGCGCTGCCACATGCGACATACATTTACCACAGTACATCGCTAGTAAGCTGTGAAACAGTCTCGGATGGATTCTGGCAGGATTATTGATATCCAAACATCTTACTACACTTAATCATTCAGAACAGTCCCTTGCACTCTTGTCAGTATGTTGGGGGACTTCTGAGAAGAACCGAAGACAATGATGAAGCAACGACCCATTCTAAGCCAGATCTTCCAGAAAGTAAAAGTTAGCGGAAGCTTAGCATACACTGCCCAGTTTGTCACTCCATTGCCAACTCAGTAACGAATATCCGTGACGCGTCCTGAAAGCCACTGTAAACATCACCATCTTATACAATTTCACGTTCCATATGGCCATTAGGTCCACCCCGTCGTCGACATTCCCCAGGTTTGATAGACTTTGAGTTGAATGGACAGAACATCATGGGGCCGGTAAACATTGCGCGGAAAAGTTGAGCCATCTGCTTCACCGAAGTATACTATGACTAATCTGCCCATTCTTATTTACTGGAGAACAACAAAAAACACTGTTAAAACGGTTCTTCCTACTTGTATGTGCATAACTGGATTTTCGCTTAATCAAGTAGTTACTGCTTCCCCTATTCTTCGCCTAGCTTGGTGACCCTAATTATGAGCAGAATAACCTTCTTCGTCAGCTTTTGAAACCAATTATCGATGGGATCGTGCAACTGTTTGCCACCCACCGGTTGAGACCGACTGCATCTGACGATCAAGTGGCAACTGAGTCAACGGTGGTTCCACTTTGCGGAAAACTGCGTTGTCGACGCCACTAGTAGCCCGCCGAAGGACTGAGCCACCGTGTTCCTACAATGTTAGTGTTCTTTCTTAATTTGATGGAGACTGCAAATCCGATTCTGTGACAGTTAGGACGGCCGATATTCGGGCTACTTGCTGTCACCAAGGGTAGAACAGCATGAGTGTAGCGAAGCAAATAGCCGATACATAATGTAGACCTCTACTAATCAGGCCTGGCAAGTTTTAGAGTACAAATAATCTCGGTAAAAGCATACGATTGCTCTCAGTTGGTGTGCAATGTGCTTTACTGATAAAAGTTTAAACTAACACGCATTGGTGACACTACTCTGTCTCCACTCTCTTCATTGCAGGAAGGCTACGAAGGGCCGCAATGTAGCCACTGTTCGGCAGGATATTTCCCTTACTTGAATCGCTGTCTTCAATGTTTCTGTGCTGGACAAACATCATCCTGCCAACTCGCCGAGGATTACCGTTTTGTCAACATTAGCCTAGTAAGTTTCTTGTATCGCCACTTGAGCAAGAAGGCTTCGAAGGCACAGAGGTTGTGCCCATTTTTATCCTTTGCACATAGGCACGGTGTTCCCATTCCAAGCCCTGACTGGTTTTAAAGAACTGAGTAATATGGACTGCGGGTGGCGTCCAGTGAATATTCCACGAGGCAATGAAACACTTAGGAATAAGGCTCATGGTTTCAACATTAGCCAGAAACATTTGAACTAATATCGCTTTGCAAACAACTACAAGGAAACCGATATGGTTGAGCAGATGCAGTTTTACGTTCAGAAATGTTCACTTGCAATTGTGCATGTTACGTCGCAACCGTTCTCAGCCTACAAGCAGTTCAACATTAAAGATGCTATGCTAATAAATTGCTACAACGTAGACGACTGAGATACTACTCATGACTGGTGAAAGATTAGTTTGAGGTAGCGTCACAATCGTATTCGGGCTGAAACCGTGAAATCCAGTTCACAAGGACCAGATCTTTGGCCATCTTGAGAAGTGGGTGGCGTGCTTTTTGCAGCGAGCGTTACCGCTACCGCAGTGTACACTGTTTTAACTGCGTATACATCAGATGTAGAACTGTGCACCCCCATTTCATCACTCCTTATCTCGGGGGATCATTCGACATTATGGAGCATAGCAGTGGCGTAACAGAAAGTGTAGTTGTTTCACGTTGTCATGATGCGGATTGCCGCATGTAGCTCAACCACTCAATTCCCGTTACAAAAGTCCGTCTTCTAGACTGATGTCTTGGCTTCCCTAACCTGACTTGTATCGGCGAGCTTTTCATACTGGATATTGGCAATAGCGTTTGGCTGTTTATAATCATGAAGTACCCATTTGCGTCGCGGTATACCGTTGAATGTGTGAGGGTTCATATCTGTGGACGATACTGCCGAACCATCTTGCATAATTTGTTCCAGGATCTTTACGTTCGTGGATCACAGTATCTTTGGCGTAATTAAGGAATCAAGTGAATCCACTGCATATCACCAAGAATGACTTCGATTTTGTTCGATTTGTGGCACATGTCTGGGATTGAAAGATGGATGAGCGGTTTAGTTGATCGCAGGGCACGAGATTTCGGCCTTCTATTGGCCACATTGATTTGTCTCTCCGCTTAAGTCGTCTACAAACAAACTAGTAAAATCAAGTGACATTAGTCAAGGGTTTAGCACCTATAATTTTGCGTTCCTTCGAAATATATTTTATGCACTCAGATTGGATGAATATGCAGGTGCAAAGATCCACACACTCTCGACCATAAACCAAAGGAAAAACAAACTAATCAATAGTACCAAAACATGATTTGTTAAAGAATAAGGATGACATCATGTTGAGAATCGTCTTGTTAGTTCCTGAACGACAAAGTTAGGGTCAGCCGAAAAATTCTATAGGTAAGAGATAACTGACGAGCGGTAGACTTGTTTACAGACGAACATCAGTTGGGATTCTATTTGGTAGATGAATTTGACGACCATTCAGCCAATGGGTTACGAAGGGTGGCTTGCGTCAGCAAATATCTCTATCGCGTTTTTTGTTATAAATGATGTGCGTGGCTAACATTACGTTAACGAAAGTAGACATTGGAAGGCTGCTACCTTGGTATAAATGTCGTACTAATTTAACAATTTTCTTAAAGTGGTTAGCCAGAAGAGTGGAAAAATGCATTGGAGAGCGGCATGTCTAGTGGTGAAAAACACAGGTAGTGACAAAACGAAATATCGATACAAGAGAAAAATAGTGCGCTCTCAGCCGAGAGGCTTACGACAACAACTGGATTTTGTAAAGCTTTTGTTTGCATGAATTGTCCAAGATACATTATATTTCAGTATTATACCAACATAGTTCACCGAAGCAGAAGCGTGCATTTCTTCACCATCAGCATACGGCTTAGGGCACATGATGAGAATATGTCTGTCCTAAACACTTTTATTCATCGAAAATCAGCACAACACTTTGTTACATTAAGTGACAGATTATAAGCTTCGGGCCAAATAATATGACCCTTCAGGATCCGTTGCATCCTGACTGAGCAACCAGCCGTCTGGTGATTGATCCCAGAATGATGTCGGCAGCGTACTTAGGTCAGTTCTTCAATGACTGCTACCGAGTTGAGGTAGGTAAAAATGAGAAACGGCGATAGAACTGTTCGTCGAAAGACACCGGGGTTGGTGGTGGGGACAGGGGAAATGCCACCAAGTTGAGTAAGATGAGTATTCTAGAGAAATAAGTACTCAGCAGATGGTGGGTGGAAGGATGAATTCCTTCAGTCAATTGATTCACTGGCAGTAATTCGCAATTAACACAGCCTAATACATCGTAATAGTCAAGAAAACAGGTTCGAATGAACTTGTTTCTGTAATCCATAGATGACAGCGCAGAATGTACGAGGCAGGCCACTACGTCTAGGGTAGACATCAAACTATGGTAGGCAAAATGTGGGGGGCCATTTGAGAGCGTCCGGGACAGAATCATTTCAAGAATTATTTTCGCAAGTACCTTCAAGACCACAGAATTGCAAACAATTGGTCGATATTTACTAGATCCTTTCTTTGGGACTGTTGTAATACTGACTTTTCTCTAGTAATCAACGATTTTGTCTTGTTGTATACCCATCGTATATAGTGAACATCAGCACACTCTTTGAGGATGACTGAAAATATTCTGTCCGAATCATTTGCTCTACTGGTATTTAGGTACACAGGTACACTATCAACAGGAAGCAGTAAGTCTGATGACCAATGGACTTGGATAAAGGAAGGTTCTGAGGTTCTAGTTATGTCGCCGTTGCACGAATGCTGTTTCCATTTCTTTACATCTGACTCAAAATATGGCACACGTCGATTAAAACACTTAACTGTTTCGGCATCCTCCAGCGTTTTCGAGAGATACCATTCCCAAGAATAATCTAAATATACATATGTTTGAGACTGCGCAGCCCATACTTGATACGAACAGTGAGGGACTTAACTGGGGTGCCATCTTTCTTTTTATACGTATTCCCCTTAACTTTGTATAGCCACTCAAGGAAAGATAAAAAGAACCTGTACCCACTGTATACTGAATGCTGTATTTTAGAGCGAGTTGAAGTTTAAATATGTACGACTCCATTGGAATATAATCGAAAATGTTATAAAAAGTATCTGCACCTGTTGATACTCCAATCGTTCTTTAAGTTCTTTTGTAGCGTGTACAAATGCCTGCCTAACAATTTCACTGGGCTCACATATGTAAGATGTCGTTGTCAGTGTGCAATCGTTCTCTGAACAGAATATTGGTGAAATATAAATCCAACAAACATTTGAACTGCTGCACAGATTTGGCCTCCACGACTTATTCTGTTAGAAGGTTCCAAACATTTACTACTCTCCCTTCGAATCACAGGAGGATGGGAACTCGCTTTATATCCTACATACCACACGTGAGACACCGTTAAACTGCAAACCAAGCAACAGCGGTTCGATCACCATGTCCACAACATCTGTAAACCGAAGCGAAGTCTTTTGTGTTAATCAAGCATGGGCTAGGTTAGTAAAAGTAGGACTGCATGTAGTCACCGTACCAGCAGCTACTATTCGAAATGCGTCAGATTATGTCGTATTACACAAAAGAATTATAAGAAAATGATAAACTCACTTTGGTTCTGTCCTAAATGTGTAAGTAGCAAATGCTAGTCCGAGACGGTGAGCGTACTAAAGCGTGGATATCAGAAGGCAATTGAATCCGTACACAGCGGACTATCTTCGATGGGCTACAAAAGACGTGGACGGATGAAGCGAGACAGTGGCAAACGTTAGCAGGATAACTTACCGAGCAGACGTAGGTCATGGCCATAATGTAAAGGAGATTAGAAGGAGAAAGAATAAACTACAGTTGGTCAGCAATGAAACTGTACATAAAAGATAGTAGTTATCATTTGGGGCGCTACAAGTGGATGACAGGTGGGTGAGAAATCTGATTGCCAACGCGCGCGTGTTCGCTACAAAGAGTGCTTTGGACAATGGTTCAATGGTGTATGATGGGATAAAAAGCATAACTTTACAAGACTCACAGGATGGATATACAAAAGAAAATTAAAAGCAAAATGTTCCAACGTGGAACGTAAAGTATCAAAGCACTTTAACAAAGTGTTGTGTATCGTTTATCACTAAGATGAAAATCTAAGAGTCTTTCGAATGTCGTCATGTCTGGTGCGTTCACCACATAGTTTGGTAATACATTCCAGTGAGAACAGATTCTAAGTGAGAAAAAATACCTTCTACAATTCAAACGAGAGTGTTGCGTCATTAGTTTCAGGTGGTTCCCTCGGTTTTGTTTGTATGGGGCTAGAGTCAACAGTGATGTACATGGATGCTCTCTTTCGGTTAGTATCCGGTATGTGAGAGTAAGATCTCCGCGAAGCCGTCGGTATTCTAATGAGAACACACCGAGTACACGAAGACGCATTTCGTAGCTTATACCGGATAGTCCACGTGTTGCCTTTGTGGCTCTTCTTTGGGGCTGTTCCAATAGGCGGATGTCTCGTTTTAACCATGGACACAAGGCCTGAATTGCATATTCAACATGAGGACGAATGTAGGAGTTAATCAACAATGGTACTAGCTGTCTCTCAAAAGTGCCGAGAGCTCGCCTCAGAAGTCTCAAGTTCAAGTTCGCCACACTTGCTGCTTTCGAACATTGGAGCGAATTTCCAAGACTCTCTTGCACGATTATACCTAAGTCGCGTTCACTAGTCACGTGTTGCATGACGTGTTGCCCCAAAAGCTATGTGTTGACGAAGCTGTTGTGCACCGTCAGCAGGTGGCACTTTGCAGGGTTCAGTGGGAGCTGGTTCGTTTCTGCTCATTCGTTAATCCGAGTCAGATCTTCCTGGAGGTAGACACGGTCGGATGCTGAGCGAATTGCTCTCCATATTTTAGCATCGTCTGTAAATATTTGCATTGGAGATAGAATTTCTGCTGGATGGTCATTAATGTAGACTAAA